AGGATAGGGATGGAACACTGGAAACTGCTGAAGCCCAGGGCTGGGTAGCACTGACCAGATAGGGATGGAGGAGACAGTTGGGAGAGCACTTGTCTGGGAGTCTTAGGAGAGAGCCGCCCGGCTGGGGTGCTGTATCCCCAAGTGTGAAAGTGTCGTAACAAGTGTGCTTTCTGGTGCCTGGGGGTGTGGGGAAGGATTCTGAGGCCGTATCTGGGCCACTGGTGTGGGAAGGGCGTGTTCCCACTTCTAGGCGGGGGCCATGAGCTCTGAGAGCCTGGCCAGTCTGGCGTGCTTTCTGCGTTTGGGGCCAGCACTTGTGCAGGCGTTGGGGTCCACTCAGGGTCACTGGAGGCGAGAGCCATCCCAGCCCTGGCAGCTGCCGGGCATCTCCCTAAGCCTCGCCGAGGTGCTCGGCCCAGAGGGGAACTCCAGGGAGCTCCCACCGCGGGCACTGGGAAAGCAGTCCGCGTGCGCCCTGGGGATGTGCCCGGGTGGCTGCCCGGTCAGCCCTCGTCCCCAGGGAGGCCACTCCTGGGATTCAGGGCCTTTGCCTCCTGTGTCTCTGCCGTCGGTGGCCGTGGCCGTGGGAGGGCAGGACCCAGGGCTGGGGGCTGGGACGGCCCGGCTGCTCTGACAGGCTCTGTCCTGCTGCCCACTCCGAACTGCAGAGGCCCCGAAGGTCAGCATCCACACCAGGTCCCAGCGCTTCTCCCAGGGCGTGGAGGTGAGGGTCAGCTGCTCGGCGTCTGGGTACCCCGCACCCCACATCTCCTGGAGCCGTGACGGTCACACCCTGCAGGAGGACAGCAGGTGAGGGGCCCAGGGCCTGGGGCTCCGGGACTGGGAACAGGGGGGACAGGACCCCAGGGACCTGTCCCAGCCTCAGTCCTCTTACCCCTAAACGGGGAGGAGCACGGTCCTGCCCTCCTCCGGGATCACGTGAGGCTCAGGAGCCCAGTCACTTTGGAAACGTGACAATGCCTCAGGGTGGGCTCCGGGGTCAGAGTCCAGCAGACCTGTGCTTGGATCCCGCCTCTGCCAGTCAGGCTGTGTGACCTTGGGCAAGTCACCTAACCTCTCTGAGCCTCATGAATGAAAATAGACAATGCGTGTACAGCGCTGAGCACACAGCTCGGCGCAGGGCGGTGCCAGGTGGTGGTCCCTGGCGACGTTAGTGAATTTGTTATTAACGATGACCGGAGGGACCCTTGCAAGGCCCGACCCGATCAGCCCCTTGCTGTTGACCATGACTCCAGAATCCACGTGGATGGCCAGGGAACCCTCATCATTCAGGGACTGGCCCCAGAGGATGCCGGGAATTACAGCTGCCAGGCTGCTAACGAGGTTGGCACAGACGAGGAAACGGTCACCCTCTACCACACAGGTACTCGGGCCACGGGCATCTGGGGAGAAGGGCCGGCCTCCCTCCCTCCCTCCCTCCCTCCCTTTCTTCCTCCCTCTCGTCCACAAATACTTATTGAGCAGCTGCTACATGCCAGGCAGTGGGGACACAGCCGTGACACAGGTCCCTGTCTAGGGGGGAGGCATAAAACATAAGGAAGGCACTTTTGGGTGGTGAGGATGCGCAGAGCAGGGTGGGTGAGTGATGGGTGACGTGCG